ATTACCTGGTTATTTACTATTTAGACCTCCGGGTTAAGCTAGGCCTTAAAAAATAGTAAGTAATATTTAAAAATATTTAGCGCGTTATTTTAATTAAAAAATACTAAAAAATATACTTTTTTTTATTAAGTATTTTTAAAAATTTTTATAAATATATATTCCCTAGGCTGGTAAAAAAGTTAATATATTATAATATTAAAAAAAAGTAGCTATTAGCCCTAGTAAAATATAGTAATATACTTTTTTATATTTTATAATATACTTTTATTACTAAATATAATATTAGTTTATTAAGGATAAATGCGCGTACCTAATATTAAAAAGTAATTAAAAAAGGTAAAGATAGGTATAAATAAATTTAGGCAAGGTATTAAAAAAGTTTTAAGGCTATTTTTTTTAATCCTAGAACTAGCTGGGACAGGTAGGAACAGGTAAAAATAAGTAGGGATAAATTAAGGTAGGAAAAAGTAAAAAAAATAATTTACCTGGGCTAATAACCTTAATAACCTTTTAATTTTAAAAATTTTTAAAAGGTGGTAAAAAAATATTTAAGGCAAGTAATTTAAAAAATAAAAATAATTTTTATACTTTTTACCGGGCTTTTATTAGGGTAGGTTTAAGGTTATATAATAATAAGGGCTTAGCCCTGCTATATTTACTGCCTACTAGTTATAAACTTTTATAATTATTTATTTTAACTAATATTTATGCTAACCTTTTTAATTTTATTTACTTAGGCCTGTTATTCCCTGGCTAGTTATTTTTTTTAATATAGGCTTAATTTAATTATATCTTATTTTTTTTAAACTTTTATTTTATATAGCAGCAAAATCTTATCCTATTATAATAATAAAAAAAAGATCTTTAGCTATTAAAATTAATTAAAATAATTACCTAAAGTAAATATAAATATTAACCCTAGGTAGGGTAGATCTTGCTGCTACTATAGCTACTAAAAAAAAGGTAAATTTTATTACTACTATAGCTACTAAAAAAAAGGTAAATATTACTACTACTACTATTACTAAGAAGAAGCTAATAAAGGTACTTAGTTTTTAATATTTTACTATTTTTAAAGATAACTTAAAAATAGCTAACTTTTTTTTTTTAATAATTATAGAATTTTTTATAAAATAAATATTTAAATACTATGTTTTAAATATTATTAAAACGCTAGTACCATAAACATAAATCTAAATTTTTAGGCTGCTTTTAATAATTTAAAAATAAATTTAAGTTTTTATACTACTTTTAGCTACATAAATAGCGTGAAGCTGCTTTTACCATATTAAACATATTACCTATAAAAAAAGTAGTAAAAATAAAACACCCGCGGAGACTAAAACCCTAAAGGGCATAAAAAATAAGCTAAAGATTTTGTAAATAAAAATAAATAGTCTTATTAATAAAAAGGTAAATCTAGCTATAATTATTTTTTTTTATTATAAATACTTAAAATTAAATACCCCTATGCCCTCTAGCATAAAAAAAAGTTTATAACCTACTAAAATACTTTTATGCATTAACTTTAATAACTTTATTTTATTTAGTTTTATTATAACACTAAACTAAATATTATTATTTATAAAAAGCTTATTTTAATTAATAAAAAAAGCTTTAATTTTATTAATATATTTTCATGTTATTATAATGCATGTTATAATTAAAAGTTATAAATACTAAAGTAGATGCTTGTAAGTACCCTAAGCTATTTTTAGTATTATTATAGTTTAACTAACCTAGCTAAAATTATATTAAATTAATAAAAATAAAAATACATGCAAAGTAACTAGCTATTTTTTACCTTAATTTTACTAGTAATTTCCCTTAAGTAAAGCAAAAGCTAGTTAATTATTTTTTTAAAGCCTTTTTTACCCCTATTTTTTTTTAAATATAATACTAGTTACAAGATCTTATTAATTATAATAAGTTTTTAAAGTATAGTTAATTTTTTATTAAATATAAGTTCCTAGCACTGCTGTTATCCTATTTTATATATAAATTAATTATTATTTAAATATTTATACATATTTAGCCGCGGAAATAAAGCTTTATAATAATTTATATAATATTAGTAACTAAACTTTAGTAACTACATGGGAGGAGTTGCTAAACTTTTAAAATTACCTAGTAATAAATAAAAAATATACTAATTTAAATAAAGGTTATTTTAAAAAGCTACTATTTAATAAACAGCCTAGTAAAAAATAAAAGTAGAAAAATATCCTGCCTTTAATAATAAAGTATTTTTTAATTACCCTTTTAAAAAAAATATTAAAACTAATAGCTAAGAAATATTAAAATATATTTTTTATTTTTTTTTTATTATTATAAACTATGCTACTACTACTGTTAGTATTTCTTTATATTATAATATATTTGCGTGATAATTTTTTTAAGCTTGCTTTAGTTATTAGTATTTAATAATATTATATAATATTAGGACAGGATTAGCATTAGGTTAATAAATAATTATACTATTTTTAAACTTTAGCTATATAACTATATAAATTAAATACCTTTAGGCTAAAAGTAAGGTTTATATTTATTAATTCTAACCTTTGCGGTGTGTTTATTTATAATAAAAAGCTAATTTATAATTATAAAATTTTTTAGGTATAATAAATTTAGGGAACTTATATCTAGTAATAAAAATTTAGCTATTTTAAATTAAAATACTATAATAGTTTTTATTTACCTTTAGTTTTTATAATTTACTTATTTTTTTTTATCCTAACACACCCGCTGCCTTTAGCTTTGTTTTTAACCTTAAAAATAACCATGTTTTTTAAAATCTATTTTTTTAAAATAGTTTATTTTTTTATTATCCAAATACCTACAGCAACCATGCCTTTAATATATAATATATTAATATTTTTACCTAAATAGCTACCTAGTATTATTAAAAAAACACTACTACTAGTTAAGCTTAAAAAAATACTATTACCTAGACCACTTAAACCTAAAAAAACTTTCTTAAGTAAAAAGGTATTACTACCTAGCACTATTCCTACCTAAAATATAAACTTTTTTATTAATTATTACCTTTTTTTCTAGTTTAATACTATATTATTTAGTATTACTTTTAAGTTTTTTTTAGTTATTATTAATTATAAAGTTACTAGCCCCTTAAATAACCCAAACTTTTTTTTAAATATTAGTAATTAAATTCTTGTAATAAAGCATAATCCTAGGAAATAAAATAATAAGGTTAATATATTTTTTTATATTTATTTAGCTTTGCAAAACCCTTTACTAATACTTATAATAAATATTAATATTTTTTTTAGCTAGCTAATCCCAAGAATAATATATTATACTTTTTTAAATAAATTTATTATGCTAAATAATTTTATTTAACTTTTAAAAATTATTTATTTTACATGTTTTATATTAGCAAGAATAATAGCTATAAAATGCTTTATATTATTATATATAATTTAATACCTTAATTATTATATACATAATTAAATTATGTATTATTTTAGTTTAACTTATATTAAAAACCTTTATAAATATAAAGGTGTATAAAAAATACTTTTAATAATAAACTTTTATAAGTATTATTTAATATTACCCTAAGTATATTAGCACTTTACCTAGTTTATTTATAAACTAAAAGTTATATATAGCAACGCATATATATAATTTAAATTATCTTAAAATATACCTTTTTAAAATAATAAAACTTATTTTTATAAGTACTTATATTTATAGGTTTATTACTACTAGGTAAAATAGGCTAGTAAGTTAAATAATTTTATATATTTAATAATTAATATTATTTACATGCTCGCGACGCCAGGGCAGAAGTAAAATATTTTAAAAATAATAAAAATAATAAGCTAAAAAATAAAAATAATAAAAAAATAGTTAAAACTAAAAAAAGGGTTGCGGGCAATAATACCTTTAGTTATATAAATATTAATAACTAAATTTAACTTTTTTTTATAATAACTTTTATTATTTTATAAGTATTTTAAAAGTAAATATTATTTTTTTAATTTACAGCTTAATTTCTGTCCTTTTTTAGTATTTATTAAAACCAATATTTTTTAAATTATTTTTTTACATAAAATAAACAGGATGCAGCCGGCAAACCAGTCTCTTAATAATATAAAATAATAAAAAAAATCTATATTTATAAGCTAAATTTATAACTAAAAAAGTATATATTAAAAATCCTATTATATATTTATTATAATTTATTACCACCCCCTTAAAAAGTATATTTAGCTATATATTTATATATTCTTGCTAAAAATAAATAAAAAATATAAAAATATAGCTTGTATTTAGCTAATATATTACTAAAAATATAATTTAAAATAAATTTTTAAACTAAAACAACGTGTAATATATTTTTAATAAGTAATTATATTTTATTAATATTTTCCTGTGTTAATTATGCATATAAATTTTAAAAAATATTATAATATTATAGTTACTTATTATATTATTATAATACTATTATAAATCACGTGGTTACAATAAGACTACGCTGACTCCACCATATTCCCGAACCAGCCAACGGCGGGATGGTATGGTTGCCGATCTTACAGCTTGAGTCTTTAGTACTCTTGCAACAACATCGGTAGGCCACCGAATGCCTGGAATAAAACATCCCCGCAGCTCCTTAGAGGTGCCTAGATAAAGCTCGGGCTTCTATGTTTGCTATGGGGCGTCTTTCCAGAAGAACCGATCAGTCAAACTGAAGTGACGGGCAGTCTGGCCTGTTATTCGTTACCTACTCGTGTTATCATAGCAGCCAGACGATGAAAAGTCTACCGGGACAATTTCCTATGTATTTGCTTTGATTCGAACAAAAGACTCATGGATGGATTGTCTAAAGGTACAGACAAAATGGACTGATCGTACACCAAGTTCGTCCACCACTACATCAAAACATAGCCCAAAACTCCTTCGATGACCAGCATCTATTTCGGTCTCACAAAAGAAAATAGAATAATAATCGACCAATAATCGTTCAAAGGGCGCGCTTACAAAGAATTCGCACGAAGCAGGCGCTCAAAGTCCGCAGGGAAGGGCTCGGGGAATCGCTGCGCGCCGTGCACAAGAGCTCGAGTGACCCTGTCGCTCATCATATCCAGGCGCTGCGGACCGACACCAGCACCAGGAATCCGGGCTCGGCGGCGCAGGCGTCGACAGTGACGCATATACGCACCCGCAAGGTCATGCTGGTTCCGACGCAGATCCGAGCCGCGTTCCAAGAGCAACTCAACGGCTTCAGGCTGGTTCTCGGAAATGGCGACGTCGATGGCCCGGAGGCGTTGACCGGGGGTCCCGTCAATGGCGGCGCCGCTGTCCAAGAGGATGGTAATGCTGTAAAGGTATCCGTGGTGAGCGGCGGTTACGAGGGCGGCTTGCTGATGCGCGTGGAGCTCTTGCGGGTGGTGGGTCGAGATGTCGGCGAGGAGGGGATGCAGTACGCTCGGCTGGTTGTGGACGACCGCCCACACGATGCGTGAGATCTGGGCAGGTTGGGCGCGGCGACGGGAGGGGCTGACGACTAGTTTCGTTGTGTCGACGTTGAGCTCTGTCATCTTGCGGACGATGTCTTGGTGGCCGCGGCAGATGGCCAGGTCCATTGTGTTGGTGGTGCCTCGCCAATTGTCGATTTCGGGGGTTGCGCCGTTGTCAAGGAGGACAAGCGCCATTTCCGTGTGACCTTTGTTAATTGCGACGTAGAGGGGCGGGTCGAAAAGACCGTCGTGGTCGAGACGAGCGAAGGTGGTCAGGTTGATGTTTGCCAGGATGTTCTCGCGCTCCAGAGCAGGTAGGTTCATGTTGAGACCGGGGCGGTTTAGGAAGCGCTTGGCTAGCTTGAGGTCGTTGTGGCTCACGGCCCAGTGTAAACCATTGCTGCGAGTGTGTTCGATGTTGTAGGGGATGAGGAGCTTGTCGAGGACATCATGGTGCAGACGGGACGTGCGGGACAAGGCGAGGAGGTCAGCCTGGGAGTCGGCCAACTCTCCTATGCGGAGGATGAGCTCGTTCGGGAGGGAGTCGAGAGACATCCTAGAATCCCTTCCTGTCAGCAAGCGCTGAAGAATGGATGAGAAAGCATTTAATGATCCACCTTCTGTTTGATGGGTGAGCGTTGGATCTGTTGCGGGTAGAGCAAGGTCTTCGGGACGTAGGGTATCCACAGATCTGGCCAAACTTGAAAGAGTTACAGTATGGCTGATGATGAGTGGTGAGTGGGGTAAGGAAGAAACAGATCGTGGGAATTGGAAGGGATTTTATATCTGTTGAGGGTGGCCAGGTTCCCAGGTGAAGGTGGTTTTCAGTGAATACCTCATTCACCTCAAGGCCCTAAAAGACCTTTCACCATTCACTTCCACGCCCAGTATTGGCCTATCAGGCGTTGCAGAACGCCCAGAACCCATTTCAAGTCACTGTATGCATCAAAGCTGAGTGAAGCCCTGAGCTCCAGATCTCCTCATCCCCGGATATATTAATCTCTTCGTCTCATCGAACTCGACTTCGCTTTCTCCCATCTCCAACCATCTTCCTCCAATTATCAATGTTCATTGTCCGCATCTACCTTTACCATCCCATCACTAAATCAAAGCAATTCCATTATCTACAACTTCAAGTATCTATCCTTCCGAAATCGGCCAATCAATCGCAACCTAACCGCCAAGCATCTCCACCAGAATGCCAAACATCAACAACCTCCCCGTCGAGCTTCTCAAATCAATCGGCGACCAGCTCGATTCACAAGGAGACCTCCTCACCATGAGCCAAGTCAACCGCCGTTTCAACGCAATCTACTATCCCGCCCTCCTCCGCCGCAACATCAAAGAGCACGACAGCCGCGGTCTCGCCTGGGCCGCCTGGGAAGGCAAACTCGACCTGGCCAAGCGCTTCATCGAAGTCGGCGCTGACCCCAACGTCCAAGTCGAGGATGAAAACAAAGAGAGCTCACGCTGGAAAGTCCCATTCAAGAATGTGCCCGTGTCCGAGTATACCTACCGAGAGTCGCCACTTCATCTAGCCGTCGAGAAAGGGAACGAAGAGATGGCCGTGTACCTGCTGGAACATGGCGGCGATCCGAAAGCGAAAGGCGTGTATTGGGAGTCCGGCTGTGTTCTCCAGATGGTGGCCGAGGGATGGTCGCCTCTACTTCAGACGAAGTTGCGGGAGATGGGGTTGGCAGATCATCCAGCAGGTCTCGTTCTTTGGGGATTCAGACCGTACTTGCTGCTCGAGCTTGACTATGAAGAGCATGAGCGCGAGTTGGAGGAGGCGCGCAAGAGACACTTCCAGGCCCAAGCTTTGATCGTTGAAGACGGAGATTCTACCATGGAGGACGGGGACGGGGACTCTGATACGGAAGATCTCATTTCTGTTTCAGCGCATGAGTCCGATATTACTCAGTCGGACGTGGGTGACTATTGCTATATGGCCGGATCTGACGAAGACGACGAGTACATCTTGGGTGGATCAGATGAGGATTAGGATATCCTGTTGTTTGGATCCGACGATCAGGATGATGAGTCCGCTTGTGAATGGATTAAGGCCAGTGATAAAGGCGAACAGAGTAACGAGGACAATTCATTGTATTGGCCTGATTGTGAAGGAAACAAAGTACACGAAATTCTTTTCTAACAAGTCTTAGAAAAAAAATATTCATGTATCAAGGCTATCTATTCCAAAGGCTTTTCTTTTCAGTAACAAGGCTTTCTTTTCATTTCCAGATATTTCAATAACAGTGGGCATGTTTAACAACTCTATGCAGCCATCGGGCTTTGCAAATTCATCTATCAACGCTGTCTCCTCCGAAGATTCCTTTTTCCATTACAAAGGCGTCCGTTTCGTTTGCAGATGTCCTCATCAACAATGGTGATGCTATTTTAATATCATCAAACTCATGTGGTTATTCCTTTACTATTTTAGCACGTAGACGCAGCCACTTTTAAGTCCGGGAGAGATGAAGAGGAAATGCGGTAGGTTACCATAGAGCATATCAGTCGCAACATCCGATCAGTAGAAGACGTACGGTGGTACCTGGTTCGACACTTGGATAGGTAGGGCTTGCGAACGGCACGTGAGCCGGATTAGGTAGAATAACCGGGCTGCTTAAGTACAATAGAACAATTGCTTGATTTGAATGTACCATAGTACCGAATCGATTCTTCATATCAACCGCCTTTATCAGCTAGGGACAGCGAAAAGTAAAGGCTCGATCAGGGGATTCTAGTATCATGAGTATTCGAGCAGGCATCGCGCGACCTTCGTTTTCCTCCCACAATTGCCCCGAAAGGTACGGCATCAACGACTTAGATACATTGGCTACACTATGAGCTACGCACTTTTGCTCGATGGAGAGGTAAGAAAACTGCACAGAATCATCATTCGTACTTTGATTAATTATATGACCTGGGCATCCTGCATGCTGTCCTCGGGAGCTCTCCAAAATGCCTGCTTCAAAAGACACTGCACGTTATGCCTGAACTTATTTGCTGACAGGGCAGACCTGGGCGCCGAACGCATCGCTACCACAGATGGTGCCGTCGCCGCCACCAGTACCGACACACTGCGAGTTTATTAGTATCCCAATGACTACGATGCCATGGCAATGAACTTACGCTCGTGGAGTCGTTGCAGTCACTGATGAGATTGTTAGCAAAGTATATCGAAACAAGATGAGAGATATGATAAGTACTCACTAGTTGTAACCCGCGATCTTGCATGAGGTGCCGTTGCATTCCTGTCGTAATAACAATTATTAGATTCAAGCACATAAGGAGATTGTCTGGGTCGAGAAATCTTGCTGTACGTACACCGCAGTATTTCCAGCCGTTGGGGCAGGTCCACTGAGCAGCCTGGTTGTTGTTCTCGGCAGGGGCAGCGATGGCCATGGAGGCGGTGGCCACAAGGGCAACGATGGCAGAGGTGAACTTCATTGTGGAGGGAAAGATGATACGGTTGATCGGTCGGATAGAAGAGCTTGTATTGTGGAATGAGTTGAGAAAGGTGAGATGATCTGAGTGATTGATTGCGTGTCAAGGAAGATCTTGAGCGAGAATCATCTCCCTCTTTATACAACTCACGGAGAACGACTAGGACTATAATGGTAGGAGTCGAGGAGCTGGACAGATATCGGGGGCGAAAGGCCCAGCTGCACAGCTATCACACTGATCGTCGGGCTGTGTGCTCTGCCAGTGGAAGATCATTGGGTGGCTCGTATACTTCTGAGGCTCTTTGGTCCTCGAAGAATGGTCCAGATACAGTTTCCGGACACTCCGAGCCGAAGCCGTAACCAAGTGACATGTCCTGACGCAGTACAGATTGACCTGTTTGGGCATTTCGCGCAAGATCAGCACTGGTGATCTGCATCGAAGGACCAACCGGAGCACAAGTTCTCCGTTCAGCGTAGGCCCAGACTCAGCCGCACACTGTCTGGGGCTATGAGAGACAATTGTGGAGTAGATATGCTCGGGGGGACCTACCTTGCATGCTGGGCGGCTCGACCCTAGAGCTTGTACGGAGCATGTTGCGAACGCCCAAGCCTCGAAGTACGTACCCCAGTGGACCCCGAGGTCGGGGGGCTCGCGCCGCGCCCGTAAACTAACCTGGCTGGGTAGGAGTCTCCAATAGCTATCTTGATCGGCCAGTGGGAACCTTCAACACAGCTGGCAGCCCGACGTTGTGGGGAGATCGACAACCAGCGGGTCCTCAGCCGTGCAAGCCACAACGCTTGATCCCACTCCTCCTTACTCTCCAGCTGTCAGGGGAGAAAGAAAGGTTGAGTGATTGTCTGTCAAGTGTACATAAGAATAGGTTGCAAAGATTGCGACCGGATCCGGACAGCATACCTATGTATTGGATGGTAATCTTGGCCAGGCAATGAGTTGGACGGTTCCATTAACGTAAGAGGCCACCATTTGTGGCCGTCAGCTGGCTAGGCAAGCCCGGGTGGAAGCAGGCCCCTGTGACATATGATGTAGGTCTTTGCCTCTTGAAGCTGCTCACGTCGTAGATACTTACTCCGTAGAGTGCGTCTTGACATATGCAGTATGATCGGCGCTATGGGTCCGCGGGCCGTTGTCTATCATGGAAGGGATCCACGAGTACAGCTCCTTTGATCATGCGGCGACCGACGGATATACGTAGGCCAAATATACGAGCAGGGCACATGAGAACCATCATTTTGGCTCCTCAACCTTCATTCATGACGATTTCCTTCAACCCACTGAGTCATAAACAAAAGAATTACGATGTACTCAAGAGCAACGTCAGGAGGCATCTGTCACCTAGGTACCTGTGTAGTTCATATCGGGCTTCCGCGTAGTAAATCCTGCACAAACTGAATTTGACAACCGAGAAGCCCCAGACGCGATTCTGGGCTTTACCTTACGCGAGCATAGAGCTGAATCAAGGCTCATGAGAACTTGCTCAACTCAACGACCTTGGTGTGTCGATGGGCGTGCTAAGCATACCATAGCATCCCAAACCCTTCTTCCATCCTCCGCTCCTAAGGGTAAAGTTGCTCGAGACTGCGATGGAAAAAACATCAATATCCTAAATCACATCAACGTTCATCTGTGGAATGTCTGACTCAATAGCGCACGAATCAGTGGTTACCATAGGATCATTCCATCTGTCAGTCGCCAAGGAGTTCTTTTCCATTGTCGACCTCTGGCTTCTGCATAACTGCCCTGTCACAGCTTTATGGGTATTTTGACGGCTAAAATGCTCCAGATCAGCGGAAGACCGACGTAAATGGTTGGATCGCTAGATCATGCTTTTCTGGTTTTAATATCCATATGTTTGCCGCGCTGCTGGAAATTGGCGTTTTGTGGGGGAGTAAAAATGGGCATCAAGTATCATAGACCGCGTTGACTTGTGATTGTGTAAGTGAAATGGATATTGAATCCCCGCGCTGATTTGAATGCTCAGTACTTTGACAGAACTTCGCCTCAGACGCCACTTGAGCAACTCGGAGGTTTTAATTTGTGCGGGCGTCTCGCAAGAGGTCTGGTTGGAGGGGCAAGCTGCTCCGTTTGACACCCTGATATCGCTGAGAATCAACGTTGGCAGTAGATTCTATGGCCGTTTGATTGCCTGATACTTATCCTCCATCCCTAGCAAGAATTATCCCTGTTCCTTTCTTAACCCATTGAATCCTATGCAAATCTCATACAACTAGTACTTTAAGGCAATCTTGGTTTCGGCATCGACCATTTATATATCTACCGTCAGCTATAACCCGTCCATCTAACAAGAAAGTAGCAACCCAACGTGCGCATTTGGTCAAGAGTAGATATCATCCCTGTCACAAAATCATATGTGTAGTTCGACACGCGTTCAGCATTGGATAGTTCCATGTTATCATCGCCTCCTGTCGCGCCTCGACTATGCCACCAATGCGCCAAGACACCCCTAATTCCCGCCGAAGGCTGAGAAATGTTTTGAGATTAACTCGTTAGTGGAATGTAATCCCAGGCAGCAAGAAGGTGCTGCTTTAGTCTCTAGATCAAGGTGCCTGAGTCTCCAGCTACTCAAAATGGCCCCTTCCATGAACTACCCTATCCGACATACAGCGCAGCCTTATCAACGCATCGACCTAGGCTGTCGAGGCATATGCGACCGTTGTTCATCCACACCTACCTATTGTCCCGCCGTCCCCGGGAAGAACGGAATCTCGGGTAGAGATCTGGTTGAAGAGGATCAGCCGAGAGGATCGTGCATCAAATCCAACCAAGGGATGGCCCGATCCCCGGATCCCCGCCTCCATGCCCCTCTTACCCCGCAATAGACATTCCATGACCGAGGTCTCTCCTTTGAAGACAGAGTATAACTTCTTCAATCTAAAAGTCAAAGTATTTTGAGCACTATATCCTGCTTCGCCATCGATTCTAGCCATGGCTCAAACATCAGCCTTCCCCGTCCACAACGCGATCGCGGTAGTCACTGGAGGGGGCAGTGGTATGTTATTCAGAATCCCGGTGAGCTCACCACCCCGCTGACGGGCGCAATTGCAGGCATTGGACTGGCGTTCAGCAAGCTGCTCCAGACCAAGGGCGCACGGGTCCTGATCGCGGACCTCAGACTCAGCTCCGAGGCTGAGAGCTGGATCTCCACGTACAACACCGGCGGCCAGGTTGTATTCCAGCACTGCGATGTCACCAACTGGGCGCATCTCGAGAGCCTACCCGATAAAGCAAAAGAACTCTGGGGATTTGTCCCGGACATTTGGGTCCCAGGTGCTGGGATCTTTGAGCCGGTATGTGCACATACCCTCCCTATTAACCTCATTATACCTACGTATGTAGTCGCTGATCCTATGCGCAGCCGTGGTCCCATTTCTTCCTAGACAGCGACGCCTCAAGATCCTCCAATGACTCGCACTACGCCTCCGTCTCAATCAACATCGAGCACCCCATTCGCCTAACGCGCATCGCCATCCGCGCCATCCTCTCCGAGAACAAGCGCGGCGTGGTCCTCAACATCGCCAGCAACGCCGGGCTCGGCTACTACTACCCGATCCCTCTGTACGTGGCAACAAAGCACGCCATCGTCGCGTTTACGCGCAGTCTCGCGCCGTTAGAGGCCGAGGAGGGGATCAAAGTCGTTGCTATCTGCCCGGGGTAAGACACCTCAACCCGCCCCACAATAATGTAAGAAAGCTAATGCGTGGGCACAGGGGCGTGAGAACTCCGCTGCTTACGCCCGAGCTCCGAGACCAATTCGGCGTCTCAGACGAGAACTTGCTTCTACCGGCCGATGTCGCAGCCGCCATGCTGGAGCTCGTGGAATCAGCGACCTACACCGGCGGGTCTATAGCGCAGATTGATGAGCCTGGGTGTATGAGGCTTGTGCCTGCTGAGGCAGAGTTGCCGGCTCACGTAGACGCGGAGTCTGTCCGGCGATATCGCGAGCGCAGCTATGCGCCGGTTCGTGATGTTCTGAGGCGCGAGCGTGCTGGTGAGATGGCGTAAGAGGTGCGTCTAATCCTACCGGGTGGAGGGAGGTATCTGACTATCCATAGATGTGGATATGATCGCCCTTTGAAACAGGTTGCCACGGCTGCACTTTGCCACTGAGTCAGCTTTCGCTCATCAATTTATTGTACTTGTGGAGTCGTTGTTACTGGGAAAGGACATCTACGGATGATCGATCAAAAGGAATCTCTGGGCGCGAAGCTACCACAAATTGTGACAAGCGATTGATTGGCAACCAACCTACAGCGCCGTGGGGAGCAATTTTGAAAACAGCTGGCCTGGGGTTATGTTGAATGACAAATAATCAAGCAAATTCAATCATTCCTTCGCCGAATCTCTCGCATTCCATAAAGGATTACCTAGGGTGATGGTGTAACCAACCCGGTGGGTGAGATCGGGATCTGCATGTCATTGCTGGTTGTCGACTTCGATCTCTTAGCTACCTAGATTGTAACCTGGCCTCATGAGAATTGGGCCACTGGTCGGCTACAATTAGGTACCTAGAAATGCGATACGGATAACCCAAGCTTGGCCAACACATATGGTAGGACTGAGAAGAAGCCCGCCGAGTTTACCTCTCCGTGCCATATACTCGAGAAATGCGCGCCGTATTGTAGAGTCTGTTCTCTCGAGCTCTCGAGAGAGTCGAGACTGAGCTCTGGAGCCGAAATCTGATCGATCACATCAGATATGCGACCAACCAATGACATGCGTTCCATCCAATAGCATCGTGAAACCTTGTGCGACAGTAAGCCGATATCACGGTGACACGAACCTTGGATCTCGAATCGATTGGATACGCGGCGTAAGCTCGCCTGCAGGCTGTAGCAACCGGAGTTGGATGTCACACCGGGGCAGCTGAGTAGCTACCCCAGGTGAGCTACCGCTCGCGCATTTATAGAGACAAGGGATCGAGGTTCTGTACCAAGGTTCTCTACTTACAATCTGGAAATTTTATCCATTCTCATCAGACACTTCCAAACCACTCACGGCCACTCTACCCATCTCACAATGGACAAGTCCCGCGTCAATCTGCTCGAGTACCTTCGCTCGAAGACCCAGGTCGATCTTGATACGTTTGACGTTACAGGTATGAGAGTTCTGTGACTGTCGTGCGAGTGAAGTATGATCTAACACTTTAAACTTCAGCCGTCGGAGCGGTTGGCCAATGTGTCGACTGCACTTCTAACCAGGTTGATCCTGTCCCGAGCATCTAGTCTAACCTCCATGCTAATATCAGACAGTACGAGTACTACACCGAGCTCGCGAAGCCTACCCGACGTGACATCCTGGAGAAAACTCTCGAGGAAACCGCGAGACTTCATGACCTGTTCCCGGAGGTTATCTTCGAGGAGCTTGGGGTCGAGGTCGGGGTATGCTGACCGATCCCTGACTTAGGATTGTCAGTATACTAACGCTATGACAGGCCGTGCTGCTGGCTGGGAAAATGGTCCCCGGATTCACGGGGAACGTCCATCTCATGGTCAATCCGAAGTACGCCTACTCGAAGGACAAGGTCTACGCCAACGCAAAGAGTGAGTTACCTTCTCTTCCCATCTTGGCCAGTCTCAAGCCCGGTGTCTAATAATATCTCGTGTTGAATAGGATTCCACCACCTCTTCGCCCTCATCGACCCGTCCTACGATAGATCGCGCATCGTGATAAAAGTCCCCGCAACATGGGAAGGCCTACAAGCATGCCGTCTCCTGCACAAAGACGGAGTGAAGACGCTCGGGACAACGCTCTTCTGCATGGAGCAAGCCGTTCTGGCAGGCGAGGCAGGATGCGTCTCGATCTCGCCGTTCGTGCACCGTTTGAAGATCCTGGTTGAGCCGGCCGGGTAAGTATCCATCCTTGATCCCATCTTGAATAAATTGGATGAAGGCTGAACCAGCACAGATACAAGGACCCGCACCCAGTGTACACTCTCAGCGGCCGGGCGCAGCGATGGTACAGGCAACACGGGATTCGGACTATGGTCAAATCTTGCGCGACAAGCGGGATCGATGAGCTGCTGCAACTTGCTGGAATCGACGCTCTCACTATTGTTCCTGATGACCTTCGAGAGCTGGAGCGTGGATACCGCGATGCTGACGAGGTTGCTGCCATGTCTATTGTCGAAGATGTTGCGGCGGAGGAGAAGACTGAGTATCCTTCTTACATCGATGACGAGGCGAAGTACAGGGCGGATTTCGAGAAGGCGGATGAGGGGAGGGCGATTGAAAAGACCGCTGAGGTAGGTGCAGGCACTCTTCACGTTGTTTGTTCAAGCTTTTGGGTCTGCTTGTGTGAGGATAGATTGACTTTGCTGACTTGTGGAATACCCAGGCCATCGACATCTTCTGCGGCTATCAGGACAAGGCTGAGGAAGTCATCCGAAAGGCCAGGAAGTAAGCCGTAATGGATCAGAGGGACAGCTTCAGTAACAGTTATCACCATGTCCCGGGTCTCTATTTCATCTCGCGCGTTGCTCGAAATCAAGACTATGGTAGCTACTCCTAGCCAATGTACTTGCTTCGTCATACTGCGACGTAACAAACCCAGACTGGAAATCCTAACGTAGATGGCACCAATGACCTGTTGTAAGCTGATCGAGGCTCGCTATTTCGGAGATGTGGCCTTTGCACTTCCACCCTATCACCCTGTTCCATTGTAGATCTGTTCCTTGTCCGAGAGTTCATGTAGGGTGTGATGTGATGGATGTGCATATTCCCCGCTTTTTCCTAATGGCCTTCGGAGTATACAAACTTCCCAAGATACTCCGCCCCGAGTGCGAGGCGTGGCAAACCGAACCGAAGCAGGGATATCGTGTTACACTGCTTCTCAGCTGAACAGGTGGAGTTCTTTGCCGGGATACCTCATTTGACACTTTGTTATCGTTGCAGCTGAGGCATCAATGTTGCGTAGAGGGCGGGGCGTGCTATAAGAGGATCTCCCTGGTAAAGAAGGGAAGATGTCTGTGGCAAGGAAGCTTCAAGTTCGCCGCTGAAAATGAGAGTCCAGGACGTCCTGGGTATACTCGGGTCCATCCCCTCTCCTTTTCTGAAAACCCCCGATGCCAGCCAGGGGCCTCCAGTTCGATATCTTTTTAGCTTGTACGTGGAGCAGCATTCAGCACCACCTTAAACTGATAACTTTTGACTCACGTTCTCCCAGCGGCAACTCTTACACCACCACGAGCTACAATGTCTCATCAACGCAGCCCTCCCCAGAGAACCCCATGGGCAACCCACCGCTAGGTAGCTCCATTCCCCTAGCCAATCCATTGGAAGACACACTGACCCCACAGGATCTGGCACCGCGGCCCCGGGACTCAACTGGGTTGGCTACCTCGCAACCGAGTACAACGACACCACCGTGCTGAGCTACAACCACGCAGTCTACGGCGCGACCGTCAACAACACCCTGACTCCCAATCCCAGCGTTCCAGACGACCTAGCGCACCAGGTCTCTCGCGTCTTCGAACCGCACTATTGTCTTCCAGCGGAGTCCGGAGTATCCTGGACCCCGGCTGCGGCGCTGTTTACCGTTTGGATGGGGATCAACGAGTAAGTGCCGTTCACTCTGTGCTTATAGAGCGCTGGCCGCCTATCGTTGCTGGATGCTTACGTCGCGATCGCCCGAAGCGTCCTCTTCCTCTCGGACCGAACGGACCCCGTCAAGGATATCCCTGAAATCCTAGACAGTTACTTCAACCTCATTGACCGCATGCACGACTGCGGCGCCCGCGACTTCCTCCTCTTTAACATCCCGCCTTGCGACCGCACCCCGCAGATCCTTCTCCGCGAGCCAGTACAGATCCTAGCTTACGACGCGCTAACGCGCGAGTTCAATCGGCAGCTGCGGGATGCGGCCGAGGACTGGGGATCCGCTAATCGCGATGTGAGTTTGATCTACTGTAACCTGTCGCTGTAACACACTGATTTAGTTCCTCCCCTAGGCATCGATCTCGGTATTCGACGCCTGGGCGTTTTTCACCGAGATCCTAGATGCCCCGCAGAAGTACGGCTTCACGGATAACGAGTGCATGGGGCCAGGGTGTTTCTGGTTCGACGATTTCCACCCCATGTCACCCGTTCATCAACTTCTCGCTGCAGATGTGAGCAGGTTTCTGGGATGGGATGCATGATGCGTTCTTCGGGGTTCAGCTGACGCGAACTGTGCTGCTTGCTTGCGCGGGTCCTGCAATCGAGATCGAGGTCCACTCGGCTGTGTCGTACAGAACCACGCTTATGTATCTATATATCCCTCATCCTTCCATGGTTGTACGGTGGGCGAGCTGTGAGAGGCTGCCCGGAGTCGTGGAACGTGAGCACACGCCGCCACCCGTCAATCAGAGTAACTCGTAACCGTCCATCCTGCGGTCTGGATTTAAATCTCCGAGTCTACTGGGGGTATGCTGGACGAATACAAGATGGAGCATTCCCATTGGACATGGCGTGATTGTTGTCATTGCTGTAGCACAGGGCTGAGTTCATAGAGCGGCCGGGCACTGGGATACAGCCCTCGTTATGGGTCCTGTTGTGCTACGTATGTCCGACCCCGAGTACTCGACCGCGAACTCCCGTCCCACCTTGCCACAGCTCTTATTTGCTATGCCCTTGTCAGTGACGCTCTTTCCATTTCGAAAAGTTTATATTGGATGATTGACTCGTTTTATAGGAAAGCTCACTACTCCGTACGAGCAGTACCATGGCATTATTAACACCCCCTCTATGGACGGGCCCGGATGAGCCCCAGGGGCCAGGCACGGAAACCGCGAGTCCACCACAACGACGTACGTTTTTGGATCCTACCTAGATAGCGAACTCGACGAGCGCGTGACAAGCCATTTTCATATAGCAGCTGCGAAGACTTTGTCGTCGCCTTCTCCCCGTGTCCTCAGGCTTCCTCTGACCCGCCTCATATCACACCGCGTGACTGACATTGTGGATCTTTGCGGCATGGCTTCGGCTTCAGCGCCCTTGACTCTACTTTAAAAGGTTGACTCTGAGCCACCTTGGCAAAGCTTGTTGGGGGCGAAATGCAGATTGACTCCACAGTCCTGGGGGCCATGCCCGGTACGCTCGCATACCAGCCCTGCTTTGGACGAAGAATTCAGCCGTACTTTGGACTACACGACGCGTAGTCTACATTGGAGATAGTACTTGGAGTCTAAAGGCAAGAATGCCGAGTTTGGTACTCCATGGGGAGAAGGCTTGGGTATAGATACCCCGTCCTCGCAGAGCCCTATACCACCATCAGCACCAATCCATTTACATTGAACCCTCCATTGAAACTCGAAACCGTCCGCCTTTAATCCAGCCACCACCCATAATGCTTGCCAAATCCCTCCTCACCCTCCTCGCAGCGGCATCCACCGCCCTCGCAACAACCGACACCCTCCACTTCCTCTACGCAACGGACTCCTACAGCGGGATCCAAAACTCCGGACACGGGTACTCGACCGGCTTCACCATCACCGACGACGACGGCAACACGCTCTACAACGTCGCCGATCCCGCCGGCTACGCCCCCTGCATGACCAACAGCGAGAAATTCCAGATGACTTCGGACTGCTGGTCCGGCACCTGGACCTTCGCCTGCGAGTCCAAGTTCGACGGGAGCCCCAAGCTCTGCAGCGCGTATGATCCCAGCGGAAACGCGCTCCCGGGCAAAGCAGATGAGGATCTCAGCTTTATTGGCATTGCGGCTGGGATTGATGGGACTTGCACGGGAGATTTTACGATTGCGGGGAATACCTGTACGGCTGATAGTTCGTTTACGATTGTTAAGCATTATCGTGGGAACTATCAGTCTGTTTAAGAGTGTTAAATGGGACCCGGGCCATTTGTGAATGTGGCTGGAACAATTGCATCCGCTTTTTTGCTGGCGCCTTGCAGGTTTTGTGTCAAGGGTTCTTCTATACCACATCGAGCCTGTATATATGGTTCATATGGATTTGCTACTTCGAAATCAATATGGCTTGAATTTCATTCAGTACCCTGAGTACATGCCGTGCCTATTTATGTTGACCTATCCCTGAATCCACTTCGTCCTCCCCCAAAGGAAAATAACAACTTGCATCATAATGGAATTCTTCGTCGATTAGTAACCACCTGCCATCATGGCACGAACAACGGGTCTATAACCCAGACTCTCTCACTGGACCGGTCGCGGGCTATCATCTGACTTCCTCCACCAGGGCATAGCTATTAGACTGGAATGTCGATACAAGCGCCTCCGAGCTAGACAACTTCGCGAACATCCAGATTCTTTGCAGCAACCTTCTTCGCATCAGCACTGTCCTCTCCACCACCGCTAACATCATCCTTGCTTCCATCCCCTGATACAGCGCAGCCCTCAACAACCGTGCCCGTAGTCCCAACCAACGCACATTCTGCATCCAGCGGGGGCGAATACAGCGTTCGGCCTTCAAAGAACCACGCCAGAGCCATGGCGACCGCGAGAGCAGCCATCACTAGGATTGTATAGTTCATGTTCAGCGCGGAGATTGGGTGGGACTGGGAGATCTGCGCGGGGAGGAGGAGGGTTAAGGCTGGGAAGGCTGGATGGACATGGATCTCAATTAGCATGTCGCTTGATGGGAAGTTTCGCAGACTGGCTCGCTGGTGCCTGCCAAAGCTGACAATCATGCAAATGGACTGTCCTCTGATGATTGCATTGAAGGCGGTAATGGGGTCAACGGAATTCTCGAATCTTGGCAGCACCAGATCCTCTCTCCTAGCGCCGGGTAGATGTATCTTACGTCGCAAAACGCCCATCTAGCGTGATGTGTCTGTGTAATTTCAGCACAATTACCACTGCGCTAGCTGCATGGCTTAATCGTTCTTTCCTTTAACAGGAACCGGAAGAACTCCACAGTTCACTCACTCCACAGATCTCCACCAACATCATACCTACGCCGGATAATTTCTTTTGACCTACGAGGCTACGACGAGATGGAACTTATGGAAGTGGAGTCCAACCGCACAGAGCAACACCCAGACGAGGATCAGCAGGTTCAGGACACGGAACCTTTCCCCGCGTTGATTGACTCAGAGGAACAAATCATGACAGACGCGCCAAATCTCCGTCGTCGAGACCCTGTACAGGCGGCATCTTCCCCTGACGAGAACTACTGCGAACGCACCCCTGAGCGAGACCGGGTATTGGAGAAATTACGGGTCATCCTTGATTTGGAGGACGTCCCCGTTCCCTTCTGGGCATTCTGCCAAGTGGCAGACCTCCAGACTCTCCAAGGGTTGGTGCGCCAATTCATCGGGGCCCCAGATCTTACCCCCCTCGCGTTGCAAAGCTGTTTCGCTGTTCCCCGCTTGTGGGCGCAAAAGGTACCTAGGTTTGCCGATTACCTATCATCTTCGAGCGAGTCATCCTCTCGCTCCTCGGGACGGTCCAGGAGGTTGCCAGAGTTGGCAAGAGAACGAGACGGTGGCGTGTGTGTCTTGACCAAGACAGCCCTTTGTGACGTCGCTCACATATATGCCCACTGCCTAATAGAACCCAAAAAGCAAAGCGCCTCGGACAAATGTGCCCCGATCATCTGGACGGTACTGAAGTTATTTTGGCCCAGCGAAAAGATCGCACGGTGGAAAGATACTATCCTTCCCAACAACGGGCAAGGGGAGGATGGGCTGCATAACTTGATATGTATGTCGCCACACTTACAGCGTGCGTGGGCGGAAGGGAGATTCGCCTTACGGCCTTTGCGTTTGTCTGATGATAGGACGGCCATGGAGTTAGAGTTCCATTGGTTGCCGGTCATGGGCCACAGATACGACGCGGACATTGCAATCACGGCGCCGACGCTATCAACCAGAGGCCTCGACGAGGTTGACAATTTTTTTTTCTACAAGCCGACAGGAGGACGAACAGGCGAGAAGGTTATGTCCGGAGCTATTTTCACTATCAGAACCCCGGATCCTCAGCGACTTCCTCTGCCGAGTTTCGACTTACTCGAGATAGCGTGGCACTTGGCACGTATTGTTTCAATGTCTGCAGCGGGCTCCAGAGACGAAGACGGCTTTTCCTTTGATGACGACGACGATGCAGGAAACCATCTCTCGATGCCTGACAAGCTGATCGAGGACTGGATCCCTCCACCCCCGTCACCCTCGTCGTTTGCATCAGAAATACGGGGTCCTCACCTCAACCAATCCGTCGCCCATCAAAACCCGGACTAGCACCATTCAGCCAGTGCAGTCCGTTGACGATCACGCTATTGACTCTGCTGTACGTGCCGAGAGGGGAGAGGCGGGGACGGACTGATCGGAATAACGAAAGCTTTCTTGTTTGTATTACTCTCTTCATACGGTGTCGCTCTAAAGCTTTCTCAAGGCCTCGTGTAAACGCGGACAAACCTTCCAGTTTTTCATGGAGAGATGTCAGGACTTTTAGCTATGTTATCACAAATGGAAAACAACTAAGCACCTTCCTATATTGGCTGCATTGATTCAAAACATCAAGCCCACCAAACAACCTGCGAGAACCTACTTTGCATAGAGACCATGATACCAACACTTTTTAGGGTATGTCTAGAATAACACAATCTGGGCACTGGGCAGAGGGGGGTTTTTCGAGACACTGCCAGTACATCTTAAGAATGAGATACTATTATAGTATATACTGGAGTAAAAATAGGATTTACTATTATATAATAAAGAATTAAAAATATCGCCTACGAGCGCGAGAACGCCGTCTCCTGGAACCACACGGCCACCGACACAAAGACCCTGCGCCGCCTGCTCCCTGGCGCACGCACGCAGTTCATGCAGCAGCTCGAGGGCATTAACATCATGTCGTACTACCTCCCCACCGTGCTAATAAGCTCGGTCGGCCTCTCGAACCGCAATGCCCGCCGGCTGGCGGCGTGCAACTCGGTCCTGTACTTTGTGTTCACGGCTGCGACGGTTCCGCTTGTTGAGCGGGGTGGGCGGCGCGGGTTGATGCTCGCGTCGACGGGGGGCAGGTAGGGTTGTATGCTTTCTTGTGATTACGGTGTTGTTGCGGCTTGCTGAGGCGGCGGGTGACGAGGGCGCGAGGTTCGGGTCTGCGTCCATTGCGTTTTCCTTCCTGTATTATGTCTTCTTTGGGCTGGGGATGTTGGGTGTGCCGTGGCTTTATCCGACGGAGATTAGTTCGTTGCCGATGCGGACAAAGACGGCGGCTGTGGCGACGGCGACGAGTTGGTTAGGGTACCTAGTCTCCTTTTCTCCTATCTCGCGTCCTGATGGGGCTGTTCTGATGTTCCTATGCAGGATTACACACCTCGTCGTGGTCGAAATCACACCGATCGGGATCCAGAACATCGGCTGGCGATTCTGGATCGTGTGAACGGTCTTCATCGCGGCGTTTCTTCCTGTTATTTACTTCCTCTACCCTGAGACATGTAAGTCGCTATCTCTGCTCAGCATGGAAGCAGTCAACTAACCCTACCATACCCCAGCAAACCGGACATTGGAAGACCTCGACGCATACTACCGGTCTCAGCCGTCGCTATTTGTCACAAGGAATCCCGATGCTATCTGCGTTAAATGACCGCTAAAGTATATCCAGCACGAAGACGAGGAGATGCTCAAGGCCACGGAGGCTGGGGGGGCCGAATTTTGGCAACGGTGAGGCGCAGATAGTTGAACATGTGGAATGAACTGCACGTTTGAAGAAAGATTCTGACAGCGAGTCAACCTATTATTAAATATAAGCTAAACATGCAGATTAATCGCCCTGAAAGATCACAGATTCTTAAAGAATCAGTGACCAGACAGAGTGGAGTTCGGTTCGTGTTATGGTGGTGATGCCCAGGAACCAAGCATAATGGCATTGTTCTGGCTATGCACTGCTTTCTAAGCCACTCAAGACTGCCCATTTGTTATGCCGAAAACAATTGGAGACGTTTGTCGGTCGGACCCTTTGGTGGCTGAGTTGGGGCTGCAGACCCTGGCGCCCTAAGCCCCTGACAAGGCGCAGTATAACCTCATGGCACCCTGAACACTCAACAAAGATAGAAATATTGTTTGGAATCACTCAACAGCGCACGACAGTGATATTTGTTTCATCCAGAGGTTTTGTTCTCGAAATCTGCCTTCATGATCGGCACCTGGCAGCCTTGGGGATTCAGCCCCCAACCGCATCTCCACTTGGTGTACACGCCTCGACGTATCAAGTCCAACAGTTACCAGCTCAGCTCAGCTCCATCTCCACTGCCAGAGCCAAGCAGCCAAAGACGAGATGCAGACGAAACTAAGCGCCGGGCTTGTTGACTTCGCCGCATCCTGATTCCTGCCAAATCTCCAACCCAAATCTCCCCGGCCGTCACGGACGCACCCTCAGCCTCGCCCTCCTTTTCTCGACCCCAGCTGTCAGACTCTGATCTTTCCCTCCTGTCGCTGTCACTGTCACTGTCACTGTCACCGTCACCACTGCACGGTCTGTCCTTACCTAGCTGTGAAACCCCCGTCGCCCAGTCCACCACCTACCTCCAGCGAACCGCTTTCTCCCGCTCGAGGCCCGCCTAGCCTCGCCTCACCTCACCTCCCTTCCACCGCAACACCGTGCGTCGAAAAATCAATCCGCACCGCGACCGCAAAAATGGCCGCCAAATGCTACGACCGCGACGGCAACGAAGACGTCACCCGAATCCCCTGCTCGCAGGACGAAGACCCGGCCCAATGCTGCGGCGAAGGCGAGTACTGCGCGAGCAACGGGCTCTGCGGCCGCATCGAGGACGGCGACATGGGACTATGGCAGAATACGTGCTCGGTGCAGGATTGGATCGACGGGAATGTCACGACGTGTCCGACGCAGTGTGCTAGTATACGGAGTACGTCCGCCCTTAGTTGGAAGGGGATCTTGGGGAAGGGAGAATGCAAATGCTAATAAGTGATCAGATGGCGGAAACGGCGTCACAGCCTGCGGCAACGAGACCTTCTGCTGCACGGGCTTCGGCGGCTGCGACTGCAACAATTCAACGCAGACGTTTTCGCTCGCGGCGGTGGAGTTCGTCGTCACGAGTCTCTCGCCGGAGAGTACGAGCACCTCTATCTCCTCGAGCACAACCACATCTACAACCTCCACAACAACATCGACAACAACACCCACAGACGGCGGCGACAGCACCGGCGACAGTGATAGCGGGAGCTCAAGCCACCTGGGCGTCGGCCTAGGCGTGGGCTTAGGGGTCGGCATCCCGCTGGTGCTGGGCGCGCTCGCAGCGCTCTGGTTCCTGCGGCGGCGGAAGCGCGGCTCGCGCGTGCCCACGTCCGAGCCGAACTCCATGGAGGCGTTTGCGCCGACGCAGCAGGATAAGCATGTTGCGAATGTCTATGCGGATGCGAATACGGGTGCCGCGCAGGAGGGCTATGTGCAGCCGCAGGGGCGGCCGCATGCGCAGATGCAGGAGTTGCCGGCGACGAGGGGGCAGGAGGGGCCGGCGGAGTTGCAGTAGGGTTGAAGTGAGTTAGGGAAGGAGGAAGGTGGGTTGGTTTGGTGGTTGGATTGAAGTATTGGACCTCGAGTCCGGCGAGTTGGGTGGTGAAGTGTTGTTGATGCACCTGCAGCCATAGAGGCCGCGATGAATTTCATATGTATATAGTATAGTTATGTCATTATAATATCCACACAGTTAGTCATTCCACATTCAAACATCACTCCCCACCTGCACTGCATTATCGGATATCGGATTTAGAACGCCAAAAACCCAACCAACCCCCCAACAAGCGGGAACAGCCCCCGTACAGCATTAAGCACCTTCCACCGGCTTAACAACTCCCCAACCTCCTGCCCCGTCTTTTCCGTCACCGCATAAACTTCGCTTGCCCGCTCATGAAGTTTATCATTCGTCCCCTTCATAGCCGCAAACGTCCACGGCACAATCCCCACCGTCAGGGCCGCAGCAGCACTATACAGCGCCACCGCGTTCCTAGGCGCCAGGACATCAAGCGCAGCCGACTTCCCAGAGTGCGCGGTCCACGCGAGGTACGCGAATGCGGCGGCGGTGATGGCCGCAATGGGCGGGTTCTGCGCCTTGCCGCGGGCGTACAGCTCGCTCCATTGTTTTGCGAGGAGGGGTGCTGGCGCGCTGTGTTTTGCGGCTGAGGCTTGCAGGGCCGGAATTGTGGCGTAGCTGTAGGCGAAGATGTTTCCTGGTGCTGTTAGTGCGATTCTCGGGGGTTCTAATCGGGACTGGAAGGGAGGTAGGGGTTGTGTGACGCGACGTACCGGCTAGATATGCGGCTCCAGTGAGGCCCAGGGCCTGGGCGAGGCGGACTGGTGTGGGGTATTGGGACATTTTGGGTTTGTGGGAAGTTTGAGAGGTTCTGGAGTGAGATCAGGAGATCCGTGAGCTCTTTATAGGTAACCTTGAACAGGCTGGGCCAGGCCAGGGACGCTGGTGGGCCGGGTTTGGTGACGTAATTGATGTTGGGATCAGGTGACATCCTGTACAGATCAGCCCATTTTGCGGACACGGAGCTCAGTTCTCCTCCGGAAGGACTACTTCGTAAAGATTGCTTCTCGCATCGGACATACACCTTGCCGACTGTCTCTCACCACTCTTCGTGATTGTTGTGCTCATGGAGTGGACTCGGGTGGATCCGGGCTCAGTGGAGAGCCCACATCGGAGGTTGGAGACGCCGACCCCGACTTGTTCCTGAAGGATGGATGGACTAAAATACCCTGTAGCCCGCGTGCTAAGTGGTTGCAGTACTTTAGTTTAATCCCTTAAAAAAATAAAAGTTATTTTATTAGGTAAATAATAACTTACATGGCTTTTTAACTTAATAATTATATATTAGTATTATAATAACTTAATTTAACTTTTAAAAAATAATTTTAACTTATTTTAGGCTTTAAAAAGCCCTATATAAATATTTAAAGTTTTTAAAAAGTATTAAGCACTTATTTTTATTAAAAAAGTACTTATTTTTTTTAGGCTTAAATAAGCTAAAACTAAACTAAAAATTACTTTTTAAAAATTTTTAAAAACTAAAAGGTCCCGGGTTTAAACCTAGGTATGATTATATAATTTTTTTTATAAGTTAGTTAAATTAAGTAAAGTTAAAAAGTTAATTTATTATTTTTAATTAGGCTAATATAGTGGTAAAAACCTTTAAAAAGTATTAAACTTTTAAATTTTAATTTTATATATAAAAATTTAATATACTTAGCTTAGAAACAAAGTATTAACTCTTGCTTATTTAAACTAGTAACTTTAAGCTAATAAAAAATTATTATTTAAAATATATTTAAAATAGCCCTGTATTTAAAATTATAAAAAAAATAAAAAGTACTATTTTAATATTTAAAAAATTTATAAATTAAAAACCTAGCATAATTTTATAATATTAAGTTTTTTATATTTATTTATAAGCTTATTTAATTTATAAATATTTAAGCAAGCTATTTAACTAATAAAAATTAAGTAAAAATAACTAGCTATAATATAAAGAAATAATTAAAAGTAAAAAAAAAATAAGTAAATAGGTAAATTAATTTTATATTAAGGTTTAAGTAACTTAATTATAAAAGGCTTAAGCTTAAAAGCTAAAAAATACTATAATTAAATTAATTAGCTAAATATTTTAATAAATAAAGTATATATACATGCTAAGCAGCCCTATACTTAATATTTATTAAATATATTAAAGTTATATTACTAGCCTTTAACTTTTAAGGCTTAAACTAATTATAGTTAAAAGGCTTTTTAAATAGGATTTTACCTAGTATTTTAATATAAAAAACTATTATATATATTAAACCTAGTAAAAAGTCCTTTTTTAATATATTTAAAACTATTTTATTAATAGTTATTCCCTGTGCCTTATAAATAATAATAATATATATAAAAGTTAAAAAAAACTAGGTATAGTAATAGGTTATATTTACCCTAGTAAATTCTTACTTTAAAAAATAAATAAGTATAATATAATCTTTATTATTAATAATAACGCCTGGCCTAATATACTTATTAAACTTAATATAAATAGCACCCGGGAGATTTATATATAAATTAAAGTTAGGTAATTAATTAATATTAATAATAATACCTAAAAATTTATTTACTAGGCTAGCTTTAACCTAATAATTTTTTATTAATATAACACGGGCGCCTATATAAAAGTATAAAGTAAAATATAAATTACTTATATTTTTAATTAATATAGTTTTTATATTTTTACCCTTATATATAATATTAATAACTAAAACTATATAATTTAAATCCTGTAACATGTTATAATTTTAGGTAAAAACCTAAGTTTTTTTATAATATATATATAATATATTTTTAAAATTATTCTTGCCGCCATAAATTAATTATATATATAATAAAAAAAGTTTTTAATTATTTTTTATTACCTTATTATAATAAAGGTTTTGCAAAGTAGTTTTAAAAACTTTTATATATAAATTACTTTTATCCTGCTGCTAAATAATATTAAGCTTAATAATAATATTAAATAAATAATATAAATAGCGTGTGTAAACCTTATTAATATTTTTTAATAATTAATTATAAAATAACAGGCGCTATATAATAAATAGTAATTAGTAAAAATTTCCCGCAAAAATAAAACTAATTTTTTTAAAGTTATTATTAATAGTAAAAAATACTTTATAATAATGCTAATTAATTTACTACATGTATAATAACTTAAGTATAAACTTTTTATTAATAATAAAATAATATATATTAAAAAAATACTTTAAAGCACGCGCAAGTTTTATAAATTTAATACTTAATATTTTTACTAAATATTAATTAAAAAATAAAAAAGTATGTGTAAAGTATACCCTAATATAATATTTATAATAACTTTAGTTAAAGTAGTATAAATAATTAATATTTTTTAGCTAGTAGCCATGGCTATATTTTATAAATATATAAATATTAATTTAATTATATATATTTTACTAGTTTTTACTTAGTTATTTAAGTTAACTTAAATAAAGCGCGGAAAGTTACTAGTAAAAATAAATTAATAATACTTAATTATAAGATTATATAAGTGCTGCTGCTTAACCTTTAATTTTTAAATTAATATTTTAAAATATAATAATATAATAACTAAAAATATTATTTTAATATTATTTTATTATTTATATTTTATTATAATTTTAGGATACTTATTAATATAGGTATCCTAGTTATAAAAGTACTTAATATTATAATTTTTAAGTAAATTAGGATTTTTAAGGCGCGTGAAATTATTTTTTAAAAATTATATAATAAGCTTAACCCATGCTTCCTACTTTTTTTTATTTATTTACTTAAAATTATTATTATTATTCTTATTTAAAGCTAGAGCGGCAAGAACATAATAAAAATTATTTAAATAATTATAGGCTTTTTAATAAATCATATATATATTATAAAAAGTTAAATACTTAATACCTTTAATAATTTTTAAACTATTAATATTTTAAAACTAGTGGTAAAGTATTAGCTTTACACATGCTAAATTTTTAGTTTAATTAATAAAATACTTAAAAAAGTAATTTAAAACACGTATTTTTTTTAATATTAAAAATATATTTTAGCCATACTCCTATACTTATAGTTTAAAAAAAAAAATTAAAAAAGTAATATTTTTATACTTATCCAGGCGCTATTTATATTTAGTAAAAAAAAGCCTTTTTTAAAAGCACTATTAGCCTTTAAATTATTATTATTAGCCTAATTAATAGTAAATAACTATTCTTATTATTTTTTTAAATAATAATTAATATAAGTAACTATTTATAACCCCTGTGTTAAAGGTAAATAAAGTAAAAAATAATAAATTTTTTGTATTAACTAATCCTGCTTAAAAATTAACTTATTTATTAATTTTACCATAGTAAAAAAAGGGGATTATTTAGGTTTAAATATAAAATTAACTTTATTATTATATTCTTATATAATATAGTTTTTATTTTTATTTTTATAATATATTTAATAATATAATTTATTATTACACAAGTGCTTATGCAAGGTGCTATATTTATATTTACTAGCTAACTTATAAATATTAACTAGTTATAATAATTTAAATATAAATTATTATATTTAAAATATAGCTAGTAATAAAACACTTAAAAAGGCTTAGCTAAAAAAATATATTTTTAGCATGTAATATAAAATAATAAAAATAGTAATAAACCTTTTTAAATTTCTTTTATTTTTTAAGGTAGTATGCTTTAGAGCACTAGTATTTTTATATATAATTTAAAATTATAAATAAATAAGTAATTATATTATACTAATTTTTTAAAAATAAAAATATTATAAAATACTTATTTATTAGGTTAAACTCCTGTCTAGGCTTTAAATTAATTATAAATATATAAATATTTTAAAACTTTATAAATATATTTTATGCTTTAGGAAATATATATTTTATTTTAAAAAAAAATATTAGTGTTATTACTGTTATGGTGTTACAACTGTGTAGTGTTGCAATAACATAATCCGGCAGCCTAAGGCCACTAGGTAAAGAAACTTTAGTACTAAACTAGCTGCATGCCAAGGCAGCGGCTAGTTATATAATATATAAAATACTAAGTTTAACTTTAAACTTTAACTTAAGGGAATTAGTAATTAGTTTTTATTATAAATATATAATACCTTTTTTATTATAATAATTTATATTTTTTTAAGCTTACTATAGTATATAAACATAACTTATAGTTTTAATTATTTTTTTTTAAAAAAAAAAACCTATTTTATATAATAACTAGGTAATAAACTTAATTTTAAAGGCTAGTAAATAATACTTTAAAAAAGTAATTATAAACCCTAATTTAATAATTAACTAATATACTTAAAAAAAAAATTATAAACTTTTAACTAAAGAATCCCAAGGGTACCCTTATTATTAAACCCTAAATTATATAAAAAATATTAAAATATAAAAAACCCGCCCAAGGGCAAAAAAAAAATAGTAAAAAAATTACTAAAAAACTATAGGTAATACTAAAAGTAATTCTAGTAAAAAAAAAAAANTAATAAATTACAAGGGCTAAAGCTAACTAGTAAATATATAATATACTTATTTAATTTATTAAGTAATTAATAATCCCGCGCTAAATAAACTTTAATAACCTTATAATTTTAAAAAAAACTACTAAAGGGGTTATAATAATAATAATATAATTTAAAAAAAAATTTTAAAAAAATTACTATCCATAAAACTATACTAGGCAAATAATATTAAAAAATTTAATAATTAAAAGTTAAATATAAAAATATACTTTAAAACCTTCCTAACCTACTACTTAAATAATAATTATAAAATATTTTAATTTATTAAA